CTGGGTGGCGAGAAACCTCATGAGGTTCAACAGGGGCAAGTGCAGGGTCCTGCACTTGGGGAGGAATAACCCTGGACACCAGTACAGATTAGGGGKGGACCTACTAGAGAGCAGCCCCGCAGAGAGGGACCCGGGTGTTATGGTGGACGACAAGTTGACCATGAGACAGCCGTGTGCCCTGGTGGCCAAGAAGGCCAACGGGATCCTGGGGCGCATTAAGAAGAGCGTCTCCAGCAGGTCGAGGGAAGTGATCATCCCCCTCTACTCAGCCCTGGTGAGGCCACATCTGGAGTACTGCGTCCAGTTCTGGGGATCATTTCATCTGTTTCTCCCAGAAGGAGACTCAAAGATGCTGCAATAACATGTGGTCTATATACTAGTTTATTTTTTAGAAATATATCTATAATGGAAATCTTCCAAGATCATTCCGTTTTTCACCTTACATGCACCTCTAGCTTATCCTACAGAGCCATTTCTGTGATCACCAGCTTATCCATTTCTCTGATCAGATCTGGTAGTCTTTTATCCATGTGTTGATAAATGACTTAAGTTCTGCGGTCAATACATTTAAACCAAAAAAATGTTACTTTTCTGAATACAGCACTATCCATCTTTCTTACTTTAGCCACTCTGCCTAGCCTTAAAAATTTGTATCTAGAATTTATAGGATTATATCTCTGCAGATGGATGAAGACAGTTGCATATTCACTACTGCAGAGCAAATAAAATTGATTATGTGCGTGCCTGCTACTGGGTACCTATACCTTATGGCTTTTTAATAAGTGTTCATCCCTTTTCTGTGTCTTTTTTATGGGAAAATATTGGAAAAGATGAACTTAGGAAGAACTTAATTACTAGATGCACTTACGGCACCTTCCTTTGGGAATCATGCAAGTGGCCACAATGCATGTACAAGCTACTTTCACCTAGAGTACACCATCCGCTTGGGAGCTATTTCTGCCTGAAGAATGTGTTCCTAGAATACATTTTCAGAGGCCCTTATCCTACAGAACTGGGCAAAGTTCTCTATCCCAGCCTTCTTGAAGAAAAACATAAAACAGATTTGACAAAACTAGTTCTGCAGAAATTCACAGGAGTTTTGCAAACTCTTCAACTTGATTAAAAAGGAAAATTATGAAAAAAATGAAATGCTCTGTCTCTTCAAATAAAAATGACATTTCTGTTCACARTCTCAATTTTACTTTTAAGCCAAAGCTTCTAAAATGTTCAAATGCACAAAGAATGTCTTATTCCAGGTCAAATGAAATACTTCATCTGATCCAAGACTTTTTCGGGAATTCTTAATTTGTCAACGTTGTGGGTCAGCCCAACATTATTTTATTTATTTTCGTGACCTGACAGCAAACAAAATGAAATGGACTAGTTATTCACACAGCTCTAGTTGCAAGTGTTCTTAAAATATAGAGAGTTTGGTCATGAGAGTGAATGACCTCCCATTCCAGATATACTCCTTCTTGGCTATTTTCCCCAAAAGATTTGATTTTTGCCTTCCCACCCTAAGTTTTACTTCCCTTGTGTTTATTATTTGATAAAGTGCCAGCAAATGTACTTGCAGGAGATCAGCAATACACCAAAGATTATTTTCTTGCTGTGTTAGTTGGATTCTTAAGCTGCTTGTGGCTTTTTTGATGTTGAAGTAGATTTTATTCTACTGTCTGTTCTGGGATATATCACTGCTACAGCTTGAGTGCCAGAAGCTGTGTGCACAGGCAAGGCTAAAGGATAATTGTAATCGGTAGGTATAAGGAGTTATCTGATGCTCTCCCTGCTATTGGACTTATTATTTCTGGAAACAAATCTAACAAAGTTCATTACTGATATAACAATAGGCAGCATACACTTAATATGTCTGTGGGACTTTTGTCTGCAGGGTGAAACACAAATATTAAATGTCTTTCCCTTGCCAGGCCCCTGACGAGTAGAAGGTGATTAGCAATGTGGGAGTTCTTGTTCCGAAGACAAAACTGGCTGCGTGGAAGAAATTGAAGTGTGGCAGAGCTGGATTGGTGCTAGGAGCAGCTCTCAGGACTTTCGGACATCCAGATGTGTCCATTAACCCACATTGACACTCAAAAGTCCTCAGCCAGTGTTGCCTTCCCTGACCAATTCTTTGCAGTGAGTTACTGCACAGGGTTGTACCTTTCTGAATGAGTACCTAGGATGTGGTGCTCAGGAGACATTTTTCCTGCTTCCTTGTATGGGGAGGCACAGGGAAATAAATGGGATTGATTGATTTTAGAAGAATAACTCCAGCTCCTCTGGCCTTCCTGAGTGGCAGGGGAAAGGTTTACTTACCTCATTTACACTTTCCTCTTTAACCTTGCCGTGTAAYTGTGAAGAGCTGCAATATGTCAAAAGCCACCGGTGCCAGTGCAGGCCGCAGCTCAGGTATTAGTCTCATGGAGCATTACATTAGCTTTTTAGCTAATTAGCATGGCTCTAGGGGGGCACCATCTGGAATAAATCTCTGAAGCAAACAGTTCACAGAAACCCAGCAGGCAGCTCCAGAGATTGTTGCGTTTCTACTGTACTTTGTTGGAAAATAAACATATAGCTTCCATCTCCAGCACGAAGCAAGAGTGCTGAGGCAGATACAAGTTTCCCTACCAAGTGACACATTTGCAAGAACTGTGTGAATCACTGCAAGCAAAAGGCTATGGAAACTTCAGTGATGGCAATTACGTGTCAGCACAGGCAAAACAACCGTCCCTGAGTTAATGCAAAACTGGAGCATTTTATTAGTATGTATTTGCAGTAGCCTGCTCCGACAACATTGTTAGTATCAGCTAACGGTTCGGTATGTGGAGAAAAGAGTAAAACATGTATTGGCAAACTGGAATAAACCAGTCAATTTTAGCCTGCTTCTGCAACTACATACTTTGCTCTGTTTATGTTTTTCTCCATTAGAGACCCACAGCAGGAGCCGTAAAATTTGTCATCGCCAGATCTATTCCTGCCAAGGGCTTGCTGAGCGCACTAGGACAGAGCATAGAAACGTCGGGCCAAGCTACTAAAGCTGGTACTGATGCTTCGAGGATTAACTATGCAGCTCCTTCCTCCTTGGGGTCATTTCCATATTCACAAGCAAGATGGTGGGACAAAGAAGGAGGACAAAGTCACCGAGCAGCATCTCAGCTCTCATTAGCAGGAAGAGCTGCCGGTTCCCAGGGCCCTTCTCCTCTTGGGAACAGGCTCGGGGCTCTCAGTGGGGCCGGATGGGCCCAGAAGGGGAGCCCCATAGCTCCTCCACAGCTCCCAGCAAGCCCTGGTGCACAATGGGGAATGTGTCCATCAGCCATCTGAGAAGTTAGCGGCAAGCGAGCAAACACAGTCAACAAATACGCGGCTCGTGGGAAATTCGGATTTCATGCGAGGACAAACGGCTTATCTGCAACAAATCTGCCTAAGTGCAGAGGCAAACAGATTACTTGTCACAAGGCACCTTCTGTTTTAAGTAAGGTATTTTGGGGCTAATCAAATGTTCACGTTTTACATACCAGAAAATCTTAGCAATTAGTATAATAATTACAATAATATAATTAGTTATGGAACATTCAGACAATCTCCGATTTGCAAAGTTCTGTTCAAATATGTTAATATACAATATTACGGCTCCAGCATTAAATCTGACTGCTCTTAGCTGGCTTAACGCCACTTGGCCTTTTCTGGAAGAGCCAATGTGGATGTGGGAAACAATATTGTATTTTGCATGCTTCTCCTGGTATTAAAGGAGCCCTGCTAAGAAATAGCACCACACTTCTGCACCTAACCCTCTTGGGACATTTAGGCCTGGTACCTCGCTGCAGGACCACGCTCTGCTATAGACATGCACCCTGTGCTGCCATTACACTGTCCTCCTGCTCACTTCATCACTAACTTGGATTTGTCCTGATGAGCAGGACATTGGGATATATGCCGTGATGACAAAGAAAACGTTGGCATTTGTCAACAGCTGTTTCAGCAGAAGTACTACCTGAGCAGCCAAGGTCCACCGTATACCTGGAGCTGAAATAACCATGGTAACTCTGGGTGTCTGGTGACATTTTAATGACCACTGCTTATCCTCGGGCCATCGCTCGCCAGACTAAGTGGCACACCCAGCAGCAGATGAGTAAAGCAGCATTTATACCACGCATGAAAAATGTTAAGCACTTTTACAGATTAAAGCCATTTGTAACTACCTCATAAGGGGAAAACAAAACAAAACAAAACAAAAAAAAGGAAACATTTTGCAAAAGCATGTATTATGAGGAAAGAATGAAACTATCACATCCTATTAGAGCAACTGCCACTAAAAAGTTAGTATGTACCAATAGCTAGGACAAGTTGGTATCCAAGATACCAAAATTATTTCCTATTTTAAGTATAAATGCCTCCTACTACATACTGACTTAATAATTGGCAGCAGCAGTGTCAAAGGTCTCTCATACTCAGTCAGTGCCAAACTGCAGTACAAAAACTGTTAGTAACAAAACACAGCAATTCTAAAGCAAAATCTCAAGAAAAGAATAAGATGAAATTCAGTCTTTTATTAATGCTTTCATACAATCTCACACCTATTTTTAAAGAAAAATATGGTGGAATCCTTCATTTTAATATCTCCATCCTACTTACAAAAAGTTCTGTTTCTTAAAGCATTCAGTAATTACACTTTTCTCTTCATGATGATGAGGAGAATTTGTGTGGATATTAACATTTCTGTAAAACTTTTTTTTAGAAATTTCACTTACCAAAATGAAGAGACAACCAGAGGCAAGTTTTGTGTGTTCAGGAATAGTAGAAAACACAGACAAAATCAAGCAACCAAACACAAGGAGAAAACTGAAAGAGAAAGAACATGAAAAATCATTAATATCTTTTTCAGAACACTAACTCAAAATATATATTGATCCTGCTTCACCTACAGTCTTCATTAATAAAAGGAAATTCAACCACTACTTAGTTCATTAAGGACATTAGAATAGCCGATTCATAAACTACTTTTGAGCAGCACTGGTACAACCTCTGGTAGACCTAAAGAAAGCTAAAACACAAGAACCAAGACTTTTTTTTTCATGAAATGACCCAGTATACACAGTTATTTTGGTACATTTATCCAATCCAACCACTTCTGGTGATTTCTTAAAGAAGAGATCATCAATAGGAGAGATCTCGCCTCAGTTTGAAAAATCTTTTCCCCCACGAATGACTAGAGGTATCTGCTGTATAGGCTTATAAAACTCAAACTGCCATCTACAAAATTGCCTTGCATTTTTACCATCTTCAAGAATTCCCATCTGAACAACAGGCTTCATGTCCAAATGAGCCAAGATTCAAGGGCAGCTCAGTTACAACATCACTATCCTGACTGACCAAGTTCCATTTTGGGAACAAATGTAAAGTCATACAATCATCTAAGGAAACTGAAACACAGGAGTGAAGCTAGATGACCTTACCCAAGTCATGAGACCTCCATTGGGAAAGAACTGCCTGCAATTCTGGCTGTGCAGACAAGCTCACCCGTTCAATGGGACTCATGGATCTATGCAGGCAAAGCTATGCATGGACACATGGCTCAAAGAATTGATAAGGAMGATGCAAAAAACTGGTATCACTGCAGAAATTCCCAGGTCTGACCCTTCCTGCATACAGCACATACACAATATTGACAGCTATGAGCTTGAAGAGCTGGTATTGCCCTAAGCCTGCACCAAGGATGCCAGGGAAGTTTCTTTGCTGTTGTACTACTTTGCCACTGCGCTGGTAAAAAATCATTGTTTCCAAAACATCTCAGAATAGAAGTTCATTTCATCAGTGATATCATGAACTGACTAGCCAAGCAGCACACGGAATATCGTCTAAACTGCAAGGCAGTGCATATTCTTTAGTTTTTATTATAGTGCTTGTACTAGTTTTTCTAAGTGGTAGAAGAGTTGATTCCATCTTTTTTTTTTGGGGGGGGGGGCTATTTTATTCTTGAAACACTTGTCAGTCATGTTGGCAATCAGTCACACAAGGACAGGCCTTTGGATCCTGCCTGAATTGCTGGCAACTTGAACTGCTGAACTGATAGTAAATGCTCTAACTCCACACAAACATGCATTGCAATTAATGCAGAAATAAACCTGTAGCAAAGTACAAATGGTGCCTTCATGGAGTTGAAAGGAGTTGAAATATCTTCCCGGGGGCAAAGGAAAAACTGTATAAATCACTGCTCTATATAGATGATGCATCTATTCTTCAATCTGATGAGTTTCCAATAACAAAAACAATCAGTATTTTGAAGACAAAGCAAGTAGCTTTCCAGAAAAGTGCTCTGAGGTCCTGGTGGACAAGTTGAACATCAGTCATTGGCGTGCCCTTGTAGCAATGGAAGCTTATCGTGTAGTGAGCTGTACTAGCAAGAACCTTGTCATGGGATTGAGATCGAGAGACAATATCTGGAGTGTTGTGTCCAGTTTTGGGGTCCCCAATAGAAGAGACAAAGTGATGTGAACCTAGTGGAGGGTGACCAGGATGGATAGGGGCTGGAGTTTCATGATGGACAGGGGATACTGAYGGAGCTGACTTTGTTCATTCTGGACAAGAGGAGGTCAAAAGATGTGATTTTTGTTTTCAACTACCCAATTTTGGCTACAGTATGAGAGAGAAGGCACAACTTGCAGGAAGGAAAATTATGACTAGCTATAAGAAAAAAAATCATAGTGAAGGGGTTTCAGCCCTGGAACAAGTTGCCCAAAGAGCAGTTGTAAATCTGTCTTTGGAGACATGCAGAACTCAGCTGGAAAAGGCCCTGACCTAACTTGGGAGTTAGCTCTGCTCTGAGTGGAAAGTTGGGCTAGATAACCTAGAGATCCTTTCCAATCTAGATCCTTCTCTTATTTTAACTACTAGAAACAAACGTCAGTACCATATCATTGCATCAGCCCCCACTTTCACTTCAGGAACTAAATACTTTCTTCTCCTTATAAGATAGAGACTTTTCAATGAGATCATAGTGTCTCAGTGTAATATATCCAGTGCATTTGATGATAATGAAAGTCTATGTCTTCTAAATTTTTATTATAAAAGCTGATGTGCACCATGGTAAGATACTGGAAGCAAATTTTGTCGCATACCATTACACCACCGGAAAGAAGTTCCTGCCTGAAAGTCAAGTCTGCTAGAAGCTTGCATATAAACTCTATTAAAAACTAGAGATTGATAAAGATAAAGCAGTAATGGTTTCATAGTGCCCAAGAGGGCAGAGCAGTGTTTTTTACGTGCCATTGGCAAGTCTTTCTTCGAGACCACAGAAAGATAAAGATCAGCAGATATATGCTTCAAGTTTTCATAAAAGCCTCATTCAAGGGACAATGATCCAACTTGTGACCAATCCTACTCTTCCCGCTCCCTGCTTTTTAACCAAAAATTTCTCAGAACATTACTGATGTTTTCAGCTGCTCAGGGTCTTCTGATATGAACCCACTATAATTGAGTCCTACCAGTTAAGACTTGTATGCAGGGCAAAATAAAATGGAGAAGTGATTTAGTATCTACAGTAAAAGGATGTCATTTTCTTTGCCAACTTTTTATAGTCCTGCATCAGTTAAAATAATATTTTCTTGCTTCCTTTGTGTTTAGGAATTAAAAATTGCTCTTGTTTAGCTGTATTCCAATAATACCAATCAAATCTGAGGCCCAATTGTACTGGATCTTGTCCAAGCACACAGTGCAAGTTTTCACTTGGAAGAGATSTCTTACAGCACAATTATAGAAAGCAGACGCTGTAGGAAAAAAAGAAAAAGGGCAAGTTTGTGACTCACATATAGCTGGTCTCCATAGCTGGAGATCACTGCACAGGAAAGTTAATCAAGTAGCCTAAGGCTACTCACTTTGGCAGAATGCTGGAATAAACAGGAACCTTTGTGTGCCCTAGCCCAGTCCCGCAGCCGTCACAAAACCCTCCTCCCTTGTAAGCACTGAAGATGAATGGCCACATTGCCTCAGGACCGTGATTTAAAAGATCAGGGTGGGCAGAGGCTTGTTAAATTGGAGAAGTGAGTCAAGAGAGAGAACCACGAGAGTGCGGCAGTGCATTAATCAAAATCAAGTAAATGTCCAGGAAAGCCAGGTGCACAGTTCAGATTAGCACCTGGGTAGGCAGAGTTCTGCAGATTACCCAYGAGAAAGGGAAACAACCCGCACAGTAATACCTAAGAATAGTCTTGGAAAGATATTTTTCCAAACCTCTATAACCTTTTGTTCTCATTTTTTTCCAGGAGCTTTACAAGAAATGAGGAAAATGAGGAATTGTTATTAATTTATTATTAAAGAACAAACGAAGAATGTGTGCGTTTATCCACCCAAATCTTGACCCTTTATCCCTCATTCCTCCCTCCACAACTAATCATATTTTTTTTCTAGTACCATTCAGCACATTATATCTAAAATTAGTCTGTGAGCCCTTTGGAGGAGGGGAGAAGCTCAGTCCTTCTATTAGCCTTGCAAAGCAAAAAGCACACTTCGGGGTGCTGTAAAACACAACATTAGCAACAAAAGTAAAAGGTTTCGCTGTTCTGGGACATTTTCTGTATTTTACCACTGAAACAYTTTCCTTCAAAACAAACTAATAGCCAGTATTCACTTTCTGCTTTTTTTCCCCTTTTTCTTCATTTTAAAAAAATTAATCTTTTCCTTGGGCAATAAAGTTGAAGTGACCCTCCACTGCAGGGAGGTTGCCTGGAGCRCCTGACCCATCATAACCAGGATCTCAGCAGACAGCTGGGTCCCACAGAAGCAAAACCATCAGATTCAGGTTCAAACACGGCAATAGTCCAGGCCTACCAAAACTTCTTCCTTGCTCTCCTGGACTACTTCTATGATGATGGATAAAGAGCAGAGGATTTTATTAGGCCCTGCGTAGTCATCTGATGTTCCCTGAAAGGGGAGGAGGTATTTTCAAACGCCAGCTATGATGCATGTGATACAAGAGGATGCTGCTGTAGGTACACAGTGGTACAAGGCAAAACACAATGCAATTATATTTGGCCTCTAGTGGTTCAGTCTGGATCATATATTTGTTCAGGCTGAAAAAAACAGATGGTCTTTTCTCATGTGTTCTGTATCAGACAGKAAAATATATGCCTTAGGCAGCAAGTTCCCATAAAATTATTCAAGCACTGCCATAGTCTTATATTTTATCAAAAGCAGCAACTTCCATTTTGTTTCAACAGTAATCAATCCTGATGCAGCTCCTTTCATCTTATTTCCCTGCTTTTGAAAACATACACTAATTGGAGAAAAGCCAATTTATGAAAGATAATATAACTCAGAAGCTTTGATATTTATTCAATCCACCTCTCATAAACTTTTCTTCCTAGCTAATTAGGAAGTACCAATTCTTCACTTATTTAATTTTCAGCAGAGTTTTACCACAGTTTATTTCAGGGATGGTCATACGGCAGAAAATGTTTATTTTAAAAAATTGTTAAAACATTAGCCAGGGAATATCACCATCAGCATAAAATACGTATCAGGGAAGATCTCGAAAAACATTTTTGCTATATTATATAGTTCTAGAATAAAAAAAAAAGGAAGTTAAACATCTGCAAACAGTTTTGTGATCTCCTCTGTAAATAATAAAAGTGTATCACTATTAAAATGGCCTAATTAACCAATTAGACCACCAGAGTTATGCTCCAGTATTATCTGAGGCCTAATTTAATCCCCATAAAAGCGAGGCTATTTAGGATTATGAGCATAGCTGCATATAAACCGCTCCCAGCTCCCTTGTCCTGGCACTTGTACGGAAGGGGAACAAGTGCTTTAAAAGCTCTTGCTTGGGCTTAATTATGCCCAGAAATT